TAGAACAAACGAAACAGACTAAATTGTCAATTCCACTTAGAAACAAAATATTAATTCTAAAAATAAATCTTAGTTTGTTTTACAGAAGAACAGACAAAACTGACTAACTTTTGTCAATATCAAATAAACTGAGAACTAAAAGGAAATTCTCAATCTCTCCTTGTTGTATAGCTGAGCTTTTCAAACAGTTTTAACAGTTACTTTAGTCTGACAAAAGCCGAATGACGAATTAGCGCTTCCAGTCAGAGACTGAGGCTACGTCCACACGTACACGGGTATTTTTGAAAACGGAGATTTTCCGTTTTCGTTTTAAAAATAATCCCGTCCACACATAAAGGCAGAAATGAAGGAAAACGCTGCTATGAACATGCCAAAGCAGCAGGTGGCGCTAGATTCCTAACCGTGCAGAAATGTTGGCCAATCAGAAGTCTAGAAGCCTCGGTGGGAAAAAGTAAACAAAGCTGGGGCATAGAAGCAGAACCGAGTCGTATGTGTGGAGGACAGTAACTGTGTGTATATGTAAGCATTTAAACACTGCAGAGAGTAGAATTAACAGTAAGTATTGTAGAAATTCATTTCACCGAAACAATAACGTGGCGCACAGTGTGACGTCAAAAAATGCGCACACCTTTGACGCTGCGTTTTCTCCGTTTTTCTAGTCCACACGTAAATGCAAAAACGGAGTTTTCAAAAATCTTCGTTTTCAGTGACCAAAAACGCCGTTTACGTGTGGACGAAAGGTGCAAACGCATAGAAAAATCTGCGTTTTCAAAAATACCCGGGTACGTGTGGACGTAGCTGACATGCACCAGTTTATTGTATTTCCAGACTTGCTTTCGGCACAATTTACAGTGCACGCTACTCTGTTTTTTGTCAGACTTGAAATAGCCGAAATACCTTCACACTACGGAACTTCTATGGCTCTTCCGTTCGACAATCTCTCCGGCATTGGAACCATCATCTGTTTTCTCTTCGGTCACGCTCGGTTGATTTTTCTAGTCGGCACACTCATTTCCTCCATTACCGCGTCGGGCTGGCTGCTTCCCAAACAAAACACGTGCGGCTTGGCACTTGTGCTGTACGTGTGTTTTGAAACTTAAACGCTTTAGCGGCTGCCTTTTGTGTAGTTTGTCGCAGCTCGTCACCCACCTCATAAAGACCGCCATCTTAAATGCCATGCCCCTTTCTTCCCTTTTCCCTGGCTTTGAGCTGCAGTGATTTGGGCAGCATGCTGTAGCTGTGTAAACCCTGTGAAGCTTGGTGTGACTTTGTTTTTGTGAGTAAAGGTAACTGTAGTGATCCACAGTGGAAGCATGTTCAGGCTCTCGGACGTTTTTGTTTCAGCCTTTTCTCCTGTTTTGTGGTGAGACAGTGAGCTCGGCCATTGTACTTTTTCTTCTTTTCTGCGATTTGTTTGTTGCTTGGCTTCAAAGACCCTGACGCTTGGAGCTTCCCTGTTTGATTTTGGTCCTAATTGGTTCATTTGCATTAATTGTAAAATAAATTGTGTTTTACTGACGTTAACTATGCGGTGGTTAATAGTTTTTTTCACTTTGTGTTACACCCCATCTCGGATAACACTTTACTGTTATGTGGGCTGTAACAGCTACACCTCCCCAGTGACAGCTGGGTCAGGCTCCACCACCCCCAAGACCTGGAACTGGATCACCATTTATGAAAATGGAGACAATTGTGAGTATACTTACTCTTTTCTTGTATCACTTTTGTCATTTCAGAACTCCCGCATCACCAGAATGTGAAGGAGGTTCTCCAAGAGCAGCAGTTCTGTAATCCAGAGAGGAACCCCAGTCTGGGCCAGGAGGAACCACAAGGACAACTTTTGCTCGAGGACGGGACCAATACCTTTATGCTAACAGCTACTTGTGAGGAAAGTGACCACAGTGACTCAGAAACAGATAGCGAGCAGCTCCTCTCTGACGACTCTCCTGAAACTGAAAGCAGAGATCAAGAAACGAGCAAGCAAAAAGGGTCGGGGTTAACTGAAGATGCAGGGTCAAAGCCAAAGAAGGGACGTCAGGGAAAGGAAACTTACCAGCTCAGCTTGCCGATTTCAGTGAGCCAGTGTAATGAGACTTTCAGTATTTCCCGCGGAAAGAAGCATCACATGATCCAAAACAATGTGAAACTCTACGTGTGCAAAATATGTCGTAAAATTTTCGTGAGAAGGTATCACTTGTCTATGCACATGAGAATCCACACAGGTGAAAAACCATATTGTTGTGAAACATGTGGGAAACGTTTCAGTATAAAACGCAGTTTGGCTCGCCACATCACCGCTCACACAGGAGAGAAACCATATTGTTGTGAAACATGTGGGAAAAGTTTCAGTGCTAAAAATAGTTTGTCTTACCACATCACCACTCACTCAGGCGAGAAACCATATTCATGTGAAATATGCAGGAAATGTTTCGGTCAAAGCAGTGCTCTGTATCTTCACAAGAAAACCCACACAGGCGAGAAGCCGTATCATTGTGACATCTGTGGGAAAAGTTTTCGTCAAGCTGGTCACTTGTCTCGCCACAAGAAAACTCACACTGGTGAGAAACCATATTCTTGTGAAACATGTGGGAAAAGTTTCAGTCAAAGCAGTGTTCTGTGTGCGCACAAGAAAATCCACACCGGGGAGAAACCTTATCATTGTGAAATATGTGGGAAAAACTTTAGTCAAAAAAGTCACTTGTCTCGGCACACAAAAACTCACACAGCTGAGAAGTTGTAGTCCGTTTGAAAGACTGCGTTCTTCTGTCGGTCAGTAAAAATAATGTTTCAGTAACAGGTGGAGTAGAGAGAGCTCAGAAGTGCCTTTACTTTGTCACATTATATGTGGTTTGTCAAATAACATCAATTCAATTCAATTTTATTTATATAGCGCCAAATCACAACAACAGTCGCCTCAAGGTGCTTTGTGTGTGTGAATGTGTGGATGACTGAATGTGTAAAGCGCTTTGGGGTCCTTAGGGACTAAGTATACAAATACAGGCTGTTTATTTACCATTTTAATGTTTTTGCTTCTTTTCCTCATCACTCCATCTTTGTGGAAAAGTCTTTCTTCCACTGTGTGTTTTGTTAGTATTTGTAACTGTAGGAAATTTGTATTCTTTGTTTTTTAACCTTTCCTAAAGTTGTTTCAGGATTTGGAGGTGATACTAACAAATTAGAAAAAAATGTGGTTAACATGATGTGAAAGCTGTATAAATAAAGTTTTCTTCTATAATTTCTGGTTATTCAACATTTAATTTTACAGACTGCAGATTCTTGCCTGCCTTTCTCTCCACGAGTCTCCTGGATAAAGGCCTAACAGAGCTGGACAGAAAGCGAGTGGACTTCTTTAAGTTTTACATTTCATCCACAAAGTTTCTTCAGTTCTAAAACCAATTGGTGGAGAGTCCCAGGTATTTAAAGCCCAATGAGAGGGTCGCTGACCCACTATTGAAAGTGTGAAAAAGGGTGTGGGCCATCGTAATCTGGAGAGGAAATGGCGTGTCACAAATTTAGAAGATAATAATTTAGCCTGGAGAAATAGTTTGCTGCTTTATAAGAAAGCCCTCCGCAAAGCCAGAACATCTTACTATTCATCACTGATTGAAGAAAATAAGAACAACCCCAGGTTTCTCTTCAGCTCTGTAGCCAGGCTGACAAAAGTCAGAGCTCTTTTGAGCCAACCATCCCTTTAATGTTAACTAGTAATGACTTCATGAACTTCTTCACAAATAAAATTTTTATCATTAGAGAAAAAATTACCAATAATCATCCCACAGATGTAATATTATCTACAGCTACTCTTAGTACCATTGATGTTAAGTTTCTCTTTCTCCAATTGATCTTTCTGAGTTAACTTCAATAATTACTTCCTCCAAACCATCAACGTGTCTTTTAGACCCCATTCCTACAAAACTGCTCAAAGAAGTCCTGCCATTAATTAATTCTTCGATCTTAAATATGATCAACCTATCTCTAATAATCAGCTATGTACCACAGGCCTTCAAGCTGGCTGTAGTTAAACCTTTACTCAAAAAGCATCTCTAGACCCAGCAGTCTTAGCTAATTATAGGCCAATCTCCAACCTTCCTTTATATCAAACATCCTTGAAAGAGTAGTTGTCAAACAGCTAACAGATCATCTGCAGAGGTTTATTTGAAGAGTTTCAGTCAGGTTTCAGAGCTCAGCACAGCACAGAAACAGCTTTAGTGAAGGTTACAAATGATCTTCTTATGGCCTCTGACAGTGGACTCATCTCTGTGCTTGTCCTGCTAGACCTCAGTGCAGCGTTCGATACTGTCGACCATAATATCCTATTAGAGCGATTAGAACATGCTGTAGGTATTACAGGTACTGCCTGCAGTGGTTTGTATCATATCTATCTAATAGACTCCAGTTTGTGCATGTAAATGGAGAGTCCTCTTCACACACTGAGGTTAATTATGGAGTTCCACAGGGTTCAGTGCTAGGACCAATTCTGTTTACATTATACATGCTTCCCTTAGGCAGCATCATTAGAAGACATAGCATACATTTTCACTGCTATGCAGATGACACCCAGCTCTATCTGTCCATGAAGCCAGATAACACACACCAATGAGTTAAACTGCAGGAATGTCTTAAAGACATAAAGACCTGGATGGCCGCTAACTTTCTGCTTCTTAATTCAGATCAAACTGAGGTTATTGTACTCGGCCCTGAAAAGCTTAGAAATATGGTATCTAACCAGATTCTTACTCTGGATGGCATTACCTTGGCCTCCAGTAACGCTGTGAGGAACCTTGGAGTCATTTTTGACCAGGACATGTCCTTCAACGCACATATTAAACAAATATGTAAGACTGCTTTCTTCCATTTGTGCAACATCTCTAAAGTTAGAAATATCCTGTCTCAGAGTGACGCTGAAAAACTAGTTCATGCATTTATTACTTCCAGGCTGGACGACTGTAATTCATTATTATCAGGATGTCCAAAAAACTCACTGAAAAGCCTTCAGCTAATCCAAAATGCTGCAGCAAGAGTCCTGACAGGGACTAGAAAGAGAGAGCAGATTTCTCCGTTTTGGTTTCATTGGCTTCCTGTTAAATCCAGAATTGAATTCAAAATCCTGCTCCTCACATACAAGGTCTTAAATAATCAGGCCCCATCTTATCTTAATGACCTTGTAGTACCATATCACCCTATTAGAGCACTTCGCTCTCGCTCTGCAGGCCTACTTGTTGTTCCTAGAGTATTTAAAAGTAGAATGGGAGGCAGAGCCTTCAGTTTTCAGGCCCCTCTTCTGTGGAACCAGCTTCCAGTTTGGATTCAGGAGACAGACACTATCTCTACTTTCAAGATTAGGCTTAAACTTTCCTTTTTGCTAAAGCATATAGTTAGGGCTGGACCAGGTGACCCTGAATCCTCCCTTAGTTATGCTGCAATAGACGTAGGCTGCCGGGGGATTCCCATGATGCATTGAGTTTTTCCTTTCCAGTCACCTTTCTCACTCACTATGTGTTAACAGACCTCTCTGCATTGAATCATATCTGTTATTAACCTCTGTCTCTCTTCCACAGCATGTCTTTATCCTGTCTTCCTTCTCTCACCCCAACCAGTCGCAGCAGATGGCCCCGCCCCTCCCTGAGCCTGGTTCTGCCGGAGGTTTCTTCCTGTTAAAAGGGAGTTTTTCCTTCCCACTGTTCGCCAAAGTGCTTGCTCATAGGGGGTCATATGATTGTTGGGTTTTTCTCTGTATCTATGAAGCGCCTTGAGGCGACTTTTGTTGTGATTTGACGCTATATAAAGAAAATTGAATTGAATTGAATTGAATTGAATTGAATTATCATCCGAGAAACCATTGAGAGAGCTTGCCTCACTCTATCATGTGACCTGCTGAGAACACTTTATGTGAGCGAGGGAAGGATCTGAGACTGCATTGTAGGTAGCATCCTCAAGAGTGACCTTTGACCTTTAGATGCAGATGAACAGCTGAGTCTTGTCCTGTTGAGGTGGTTCTTCCTCCATGTTGGCTACAATATGTGACACCGATGAGCCCATGGCACAGCCACGTTTTTGTAGAAACCCTCGCTGTATTTAAAATATGTGGTAGTGAGGCAGAGGTTTAACAGTGTGCAGGTCTGAGTGGGACTCCTTTGTGGATCTTTGGGAGTCCACAAAGAAGAAGGCAAAGTGGACCCAAAGGAGTACACCGAGGACGGCTGTGTAAGTCCCGGCGTGTGTGGCATCCACAGGAACCTCTGAATCTCAGCTACAAGCTCGTATAAACTGTTTCTACGAACACCAAAGAGCGAAAACAACAAACAGTTAATGGTCACATCATTTCATGAAATGTCTATAAACAAGCAGAACAGAGCCTCGATAGCAAGAGCTACCCGAGCGAACAGAACATTTTCTGAAAGCAGAGATTTCACAGATTCCTAAACTGCGAGTTTCGTCACGCTCCAACGTAAATTTACCGAACAAGCCGCAGAAGCAGACCGCTTGATAATAACATAAAGTCAGACTTTTCCTGTTGCTTTCACAGAATAAACATCAATTTGAGACTACAGCTTGTTTCCTGACTAACTCATTCTCCCACAATGCCTCAGAGCTGTTTCCTGTTAAAAAAAAATAAAAAATCACAGTTTTCTGCCCAGTTACAGACATTTGATCGTCTGTTCCCATGTGGATGCCTTGGGTACAGACGGTGGTATGTAGGGGGGGTCAGTGAAGTTGTTGTAGGTAACTGATGACTTTGTCTTTGTGGGGTCTCGTTTTATGGTTTCATGGGTGTTTTTGTCACTGAGGAGTAATTTTGGTGTGATAATCAGTTGAGTTTAGAACAGCAGTTTACCTCCTCCTATGGTCTTCTTTGCTTACATTGTGAAGTTAGACAGAATTTCTTGAACTGGAGAGAGTAGCCGAAACCTTCATCCTCAGTAGGTAGAGTGGTGACCCCATGACCAGAAACCTGGGCGCCCAATGGCTGCCCACTGCTTCACTGAGTGAATGGGTTAAATGTAGAGAGGAATTTCCCCATGGGGAGCAATAAAGTATACCTTATCCTGAGTTATATTAATGTATTAATCCCTGTTGTGGCCCATTATGGGCAGCTTTTGTACAGACATGACCAAATTGATTCCTCTGGCTAGCACCTGTCTGACAAGTTCTTCACCCACTCATCCTGGCTGGTTGTGGTGTCTTCATGTTCTCATGGTGTGGGCATTGATTCAGAATGGAAAGTTTTTTGTTTGCAGTTTTTGGAGCTTCTGAAGTTGTTTTTCTTTGCCTTTCATGTGTTGTACCAAGTGAGCTGTGTCCACAAACTTGGGAAACAAACAGGAGGAGCACAGTGAGTTCCTGCAGGGTCTTTTTAATCTTATTTTGGAGTGCATCTATAGTGGAATGGATCTATCCTTTCACTCAGCAGCTGGTTTAATGCTCTCCATAAGATCTGCTCAGCCCTGTTACTCCTGACCATGGACCATCGAAACTCTTGGAAAGCAGTCTGTTTCTGTCAAACAGACTCAGCAGACTGCAGTCACAGTGGCTCCTGTGGTTGAGAAACAGAGCAGATGGATTTAAAAAGGTGTGAAGAAGGTAGTGGTAAAAAATGAACCACACATGTTTCACATGATGATGTCTTATGTGTTGGTACAGGGCATTGAAGATGATAACAGTGGGTGGATTATATTCTTAAACTTAGTTACAGCACTTTCAGAAAGACATCTACTGTGATAAAGTCTACTCTCCACCGCTGTGTAATCAATTATTGTAAATGTAAATGTTATCAGGAAATGATCAGACAGGAGAGGGTTTTCAGGAAACACTGTTAAATGTTCAGTTTCTATGCCATATGTTAAACTCTGGTAGTTGGTGATTCTGTTCTCAGACATGTGAAGCTAGAGACACCGGCAACCATAGTCAATTGTCTTCCAGGGGCCAGAGCAGGCGACATTGAAGGAAATTTAAAACTGCTGGCTAAGGGTAAACGTAAATTCAGTAAAATCATAATTCACGTCGGCAGTAATGACACCCGGTTACGCCAATCGGAGGTCACTAAAATCAATATTGAATCGGTGTGCAACTTTGCCAAAACAATGTCGGACTCTGTAGTTTTCTCTGGTCCCCTCCCCAATCAGACCAGGAGTGACATGTTTAGCCGCATGTTCTCCTTAAATTGCTGGCTGTCTGAGTGGTGTCCCAGAAACGATGTGGGCTTCATAGATAATTGGCAAACCTTCTGGAGGAAACCTGGTCTTGTTAGGAGAGACGGCATCCATCCCACTTTGGATGGAGCAGCTCTCATTTCTAGAAATATGGACAAATTTATTAAACCCCCCAAAATATGACTATCCAGAGTTGGGACCAGGAAGCAGAGTTGCAGTCTTACACGCCTCTCTGCAGCTTCTCTCCTCCTGCTACCCCCCCAAAAACCCATCTCCATAGAGACTGTGTCAGCTTCCAAACAGACAAAAAACAAACTAAAAACCAGCAACAAACAACTTAAACATAAACAATTACAAAGAAAGAACAATACAGTATCCACATCTGAACCAAAGAGTAAAACAGTGAAATGTGGATTATTAAATATTAGGTCTCTCTCCTCCAAGTCTCTGTTAGTACATGACTTAATAATTGATCAACAAATTGATTTACTCTGCCTTACAGAAACCTGGTTGCAGCAGGATGATTATGTTAGTTTAAATGAATCAACACCCCCGAGTCATTCTAACTACCAGAAATCTCGAAGCACAGGCCGAGGGGGCGGTGTGGCAGCAATTTTTCACACCAGCCTATTAATTAATGAAAGACCAAGACAGACTTTTAATTCATTTGAAAGCCTGATGCTTAGCCTCGTCCACCCCAGCTGTGAAACTCAGAAACCAGTCTTACTTGTTATCATCTATCGTCCACCTGGGCCTTACACAGAGTTTCTGTCTGATTTCTCAGACTTTATATCTGATTTAGTTCTGAGCTCAGATAAAATAATTATTGTGGGTGATTTTAACATCCATGTAGATGCTAAAAATGACAGCCTCAACATGGCATTTAATCTGTTATTAGACTCAATTGGTTTCTCTCAAAATGTAAAAGAACCCACCCACCACTTTAATCACACTCTAGATCTTGTTTTAACATATGGCATAGAAACTGAACATTTAACAGTGTTTCCTGAAAACCCTCTCCTGTCTGATCATTTCCTGATAACATTTACATTTACAATAATTGATTACACAGCGGTGGAGAGTAGACTTTATCACAGTAGATGTCTTTCTGAAAGCGCTGTAACTAAGTTTAAGAATATAATCCACCCACTGTTATCATCTCCAATGCCCTGTACCAACACAGAGCAGAGCAGCTATCTGAACGCTACCCCAACAGAGGTCGATCATCTTGTTAATAATTTTACTTCTTTAACGAGAGCGTCCTCGCTGGTATAACTCTCAATTTCACAAACCTTAAGCAGCTAACTCATAGCTGGAGAGGACCTATTGCTACTTTTAATATTAATTGCTACTTAGTCTTTTAGGGGAAGGTATATTTTGTGGACCTTCTTAAGCCCACTGACACACTTCCTGTCGTGGAAGTCTGGGATGAGGGGCTAACTTGCCCATCCCTGAGGGTGAGATCTCTGACATAGTTGCAATGCACAGAGCAGAGTTCTCCTAGTTTGGATGAAAGTTCCTAAAAGCTGTGGATGTTGAAGGGCTGTCCTGGTCGGCATGTCTCTGCAACATTACGTGGAGATGTGGGGCGGTGCCTCTGGATTGGCAGATGGCAAGAGAAGCTCTAAAAAAAGGGGACGGGAGAGTGTGCTCCAACTACTCCTCGGCCTCCCCGGTAAAGTCCCTGGCAGGGTACTGGAGAGGGGAGTGTGTCTGTTAGTGAAAATTGTGGTTTTCGTCCTGGTCGTGGAGCAGTGGATGAGCTCTTTAGCCTCTCAAAGACATTCAGTGGTGCCTGAGAGTTTGCCCAACCAGCCAGCTGACTGCGTCTCTTGGGACAACGGTCCCCAACCCCCGGGCCTCGGACCGGTACCGGTCCGTGAGTCATTTGGTACCGGGCCGTGAGAGTTGAGGCTCAGGTGTGAAATGTATAGATTTCAGGGTTTTATCGGTTTTCAGCGTTATTTTGTTATCGTTTTTATCGTTTACTCGGTTTTCCTGGGTCTTTTCACGTGTGTTATGAATAAATCTTCTTTTTTTCGGTACCGGTACTAGTTTTATTTGGTTGTATTTATCCGCTACACCTTAAAGGCCGGTCCGTGAAAATATTGTCGGGCATAAACCGGTCCGTGGCGCAAAAAAGGTTGAGGACCGCTGTCTTAGGACACTAGTGGTGGGGGGGGGGGGTTCGGAAGTATAGTGTGTATTACTGTAGGGTCTTTACAATATTAAGCCCCTTGATTTGGAGCTACATAAACTGAAAGTGTCTGGCTGTCTGTTACAGTCACTCAGTCCCTGCAAACATCACAGGAGCTTGGTCCACATTGTTAGCTGTAAATGGGATGCGGCCCAGGCTGCACTTGTCAACGGTTCATACTTGTTATGGACACAATATCAGGTCATAGTGATGACTTTTACGTTCCACTACATACTCAGCTACAACATGCTCTTAAACTTCTTTAAATGTTCTAGCACAACATCTGTCACGTGTTCAAAATACCGCTGCATGTTCTATGTGTGACATAGAACAGCGCCACCTGTGCTATGTGAGAGCTGTTACAGGTCGAGTCATCAGTGCTTGTGTGAGTCGCACTACTTCAAGCAGATACGCGTTGATAACTACGTTCCTGTGGCGGATAAACAAACATGTGACTAATGATCACGTGTTAATCAGTGATACTGCTGTTCACATGATTCATGGAATCTAAAGGAGCTGCTTCCTGTCTCAACAGAAGAGCGACAGATGATCTAGAAACAGCCTGGACACGTTAACCTGTGTACACAAGGGACACGTTCATCATTACAAAAACATGTGCTATAAAGATTTTGTGTAGAGATTATACAGCATGCAGTCATGGAGCTCACTCCCTCACCTCTGCTCTCAGCTCCAGCAGAGCCGTGAGAGAGGAGCTGCTCCTCGTCTCCTCCTGGTTCACTGTGCTCTCCTTCCTCAGCAGCAGTCACCATGAAGGTACCAGGCTCCTCCTTCAGTCCCAGCTGCTCTCCCTCCTGACTGCTGCACAGTTCCTCCTGTTCCTCTTTAATCTGTGGAGGTTCTGGTTCCTCCTGCTCCACACTGGAGCTCCTCTCCTGGTTCCAGAGACAACCTCCTCCTCCCACAGACCTGCTGCTGTGGGACGTCTGGAACAAAAAAGACATAAAAAAAAACAAAAAACATGAAATTTACAAATCTGATGCCAAAAAATTCTGAGAAGTTTTCATTGAAGTCTTTGATAGAGAGGATCAGATGTGTGTTTGAAGCCAAATTCAAATTATTCAAGATCAGACACGATGGTCTATACTCGCCCCAGAGGTGGGAAAGTCACCTCGTTATGCAGTAAAGTAGACAGGCTGGATGCAGCGTACCTGAGAACAAGAACACTTTGTCAAAATAGAAGAAAATATACACAATACAGGGCAGAAGAAATGTTATTTAAACATGTTCGTACTGGTGTATCGCCAAGTCTTCTGATGCTTTTTTGTTGTTGTTTTGTTGTGTACGTCTTTGTGTCACCGTACCTGTGAGATATAAGAACCAACATCTGCCAGGAAAAAGTCCCACAGTGCCTCTGTGAGGGTTTTTATTTTTCTTAGTACAAGAGGACGCATAGTGTTTTCTAATCTTATACGTTTTTTATTACATTTATTTCATACTTTTACATTTGAACAGAATCATCATTAGACTCAAAGCCAGAACAACACATAGTCAATGCTGGTGGTGCTGAGGTGGGCTCAGCAGGGCCCGGGGCCATGTGTCAGCTTGGTCAGGAGTGAGGAGGACTGAAAATGTAAACATGAAGAGGGAAACCGGCCGGGAGAAAGTGAGAAGAACTGAGCATGCTCAGAGACCTGCTCCAGTTGTGTGCGAGGAACCAGGTGTGTGCAGGGACCGAGGTGTGTGCGGGGATCCAGGTGTGTGCGGGGATCCAGGTGTGTGCGGGGACCGAGGTGTGTGCGGGGACCGAGGTGTGTGCGGGGATCCAGGTGTGTGTGCGGGGACTGAGGTGTGTGCGGGGATCCAGGTGTGTGGTGTGTGCGGGGACCGAGGTGTGTGCGGGGATCCAGGTGTGTGCAGGGACCGAGGTGTGTGCGGGGATCCAGGTGTGTGCGGGGATCCAGGTGTGTGCGGGGACCGAGGTGTGTGCGGGGATCCAGTTGTGTGCGAGGAACCAGGTGTGTGCGGGGACCGAGGTGTGTGCGGGGATCCAGGTGTGTGCGGGGATCCAGTTGTGTGCGGGGATCCAGGTGTGTGCGGGGATCCAGGTGTGTGTGCGGGGACTGAGGTGTGTGCAGGGATCCAGGTGTGTGCAGGGACCGAGGTGTGCGCAGGGATCCCTCTGAGGATCCAGGTGTTTGAATTTCAGACTTTGATGGTTTTGGATCCCCTCCTGGATCTGTTTGCTGATGATGTCACCTGAGCACGTGACATCAGTGGTGACCTGGGCACCAGTGTTAGCAGGCCCGTCTGCTGCTGAGACCTGGTCAGCCGCGGTGTCCCAGGCGGCGTCCTGGGTGGCGGCTCTGGGGCCACCCTGACGGTGTTCCTCCCGTACAGCCTCTTCTCGTACTGCAACAGCTGCTCCCAAAAGCCGGCGTTCAGCCGGATGTAGGGCCGGCTCTCCTGGACCCAGTGGTGTGCCCGCCGCAGCGTCACGCCCCTGTAGCGCATCAGGTACGCCATCACCAGTGCTGGAGAGCGGCTCATCCCGGCAGCACAGTGCACCAGCGTCCCACCGCCACAGTTACCATGGATACGCTTAGCCACCCAGTCAAAGTAATCCCCGAGGCGGGCACTCGGCAGGTCGGAGACAGGGACCCGCAGGCACTCCACCCCTGGGTAGGCGGGGCAGGCGTGGCTCAGTGTGGCATTGACAATCAGAGTGATGCCTTTCTTCAACACCAGTCCTGCGTTGAGAGGGGCGTCGGCCCCACTGAGAAACAGGGTGGGGGTAATCTGAGAGACCGCCATCTGCTGGAGACACAGAGAGACGTTACTGCAGCTCAGAGCGGTGAATTCACGCCTGCACTGGCCAATCACAGAACAGCACACATGTGAATGCACTCACACCTCCATTGAAGCACAAATGAAACACAGACATCAGCCTCCAACTCTAAAACACCAGCAGCTGCAGTTCCTCTGACGTCCAGCAGGGACAGCACTGACTTAGTCGCCATAGTCTCCGTGTTAAAATAAACACGCTTACGGCTGATCTCAAACAAACACCTGTACGAGGGAAGGATGTTTTTAAAACTCACCTGCCTGTATTATTAGCTCATTAGAGCCCAGACCCATTTATACTTTCAGGAAAACTTGTTAGCAATATGGCTGCTGTGAGGTTACAGAACAAACAGACCATACAAGAAGGATTCTGATTGGATTAGCAGGTATGTGTGCGTGTCTGTGTGATGCTGGTTCCGATTAGGGGTGGGTTTTTATAATCAATTTATCGATTAAAATCGATTCTGGCTTGGATAACGTAAAATCGATTCATTAAAATCCTGAATCGCTTTTTTAATATAAACTTATTTTGTCTGGAATACCAGAATCTCTGGTGAAATCTCACAAAATTTCAACAACCACCAAACAGCTAAAACAGTAAATGAGAGCAGGAACACGGATTCTGCACAGAGACTTAAACACACAGCGCGGCCCGCGGATCAGAATCAGTGAGATGTTGCCTTTCTCACGGTCGGGGCTGAAAGCCGACGGGTCGCTGACTCTGATCTGTTGGCGGGTCGAGCTTTGTGTTCACGCCCTTTATGAGCTGATTCTAAAGCTGTTAGTTTGATGTCTCTCCAAACAATATTGACCGAACCAGCAGCAAAAGAAGATCCGAACTAAGCTTCACATAAACATCGTCATGAATTCACTCTGACTTTTGCTGTTTTGCTTCCACCATGATGCACAGCTCTCTCTCTCTCTCTCTCTCTGTACTTCAAGATCAGTTTCCCGTCTAAAAATCTGTTTTCTGCATTATTCGCTTGCTTGTTACGCACAAGTCTACCGTTGTTTACAGCGCTGTCAGCTGTTGTTTTTTTCCCCTTTTACATTCTTCCAAAAAGAAAACCTAATTTCTGCATTTCAACAGATCCGACAGTGAGTGGTTCCTGTTACTCATCCAGTCTGAGAAAGCACTGGTTAAAGTGTTTGTGTATTTATTGATTTATTTTAAGTAATTGTGTTTTATGTATATTATGGTTTTATATTTTTACAAATGCTTTATATACTTATTTGTATACATATATATATTTAATGGTTTATACCTTGTGTTGGGGAGGGGGGGTGTTTCTGTCTTGTTTTTATGGACATGAAGTCTGCCAATAAAGATTGAATTGATTGAATACTGAACAAATTTAAACTTTTTAAAATTATTCAAAATGCAAAACGCTTAGCTGTGTCTCTAACAAAACCGCTGTAACGTCAGAGGTGATGTTCATATGCTGAATAATGGTTTTCTTTTGTTTTTGATGTACTGCAGAATATTTTTATAAAATCCAGAACAGGAAAATCGCCTCCATGTTTTTCTGTTTTATCTTCAGCTACTTTGACACAAAGGCATCTGCTGTGATGCTCACACCTTTGATAAAGTCTTGCGTATGTCAGCTTCCTTTTTATTGATACAAAAATATGTAAATGTACTGATCTGGATTTCTGACTGTCAAAATTTCCCAGATTTAAATCGAATCGATTCTAGAAATCAGTGACGATACCCAGCCCTAGTTCCGATGTTTAAAGGATTCTGGGTCACATGTCAGGATGTAATAAGAAATAATCTGAAGTCATATTTATTTAACCAAACAGAGGACCGGCGTGTGAGAAAGTCCACCCTGCTACTTCCTGAGGGATCGGACTGTTTACGCTTGTTGTTCTCACTCTCGCCAACACAGTCAGACGACAGCACTGACGTCACACCTGCTGGTGCAAGCTGCACTTTGATGTTGTCCTTTCATCAGTTTGCTGTCACCTGTACAGACGTTTTTATGACAGACGTATGCAGGAGCACATGATACAGAACTCAGTTATGGACTCTACTGCTTCCTGTTTTGGCTTTTTGTTAAATAAATCATGACTGTTGTATTTAAATGGGTTTAGATGTGTGTCATGTGTGTTACCTGCTGCCCGGTGGTCCTCTGACTGCTGCTCTGAGTGACACACACACACACCCTAGATGGCTGTGTGTGTCAGTCCTTCAGCCAATCATCTGAAGGGTTAATTTTAGTACAACAGCTGAAAACGTCCTGAAGTCATGTGACTGAAGAGGAGAAATCAGACTCCAGCACACACACACCATCATAATGAGTGTGAATTTATCATTAAGAGCAGTTTGATTGACAGCTGCTGATATGGCCCTGAAGGCTTCACTGATGTTGAAATAAGAGTGTTTGACTTGATTATATAAACTTTCCCCCACACTGGGGGAATTCCCTTTTCACCGCAGTTTAATTTTATTTATTTAAATCTAATTTTCGTTCTCTCTCTCTCGGACTCCCGGCCTTTGCTTCGGTTTGATCCGGTGACGTCACAAAGCCCGTCACGTGTCTCCCTCTGCCGGTGAACTCCGGGCAGGTGCAGTTCTATTTCTGACCTCCGGGAGGCCGCGGCTCGCTGAGCTGCAGGGAGACTCGGAGAGCAACCAGCGAAGAAGAAAAAGTATTTTGCTAGCAGTTAGCCTGTTAGCCGGGCCGTCATGGCAGACCTGAACCGACAGCTCCAGGAGTACCTTTCTCAGTCCAAAGGCGGCGGCGCAAAGACCATCTCCCAGTCCGGCTCCAGCACTGCGGTGGACCTGGGCGACCCGGAGCCCGTCCCGGGAAGCTGGTTCGGCCGGTGGTCCAGCCCGTGGTCCGCCAGCACTTCCGGACAGAGCTCGGGCGGAAGCGGCGGCTTGTCGTGGCCGTGGTCGGCCGAACCGGATCCCTGCCTGCCGGGCATGAGCCGCCGCCAGCGGCTGCTGGCCTTCGGCGTGTGCGTGTCGTTTTCCGCACTCTGCTTCGGTTTGTCGGCGCTGTATGCCCCGCTGCTGCTGCTCTACGCCCGCAAGTTCGCGCTACTCTGGTCGCTTGGCTCGGTGTTCGCCATCGCGGCCGCCGCGGTGCTCCGCGGGCCCAGCAGGCTGGCCGCTGGCCTCCCTACCTCCCCCGGAGCCGCCGTGTACCTGTGTGCTCTCGGGGGTACCTTGTACGCGGCGCTGAGCCTCCACAGCACCGTGCTGACCGCTCTGGGCGCCGCCCTGCAGGTCGCCGTCATCGCCGGCTGCCTGGTGTCGCTGCTACCCGGAGGCAGCGCCGGGATCCGCTTCATGGGGGGCATGGCGGCGTCCGCCATCAGGAGGACCGTCACCGGGAAGACCATGCCGATCTGACCGGGACCCGGGCATCCGGGGGGGGGGGGTTGCTGTGGAATGTCCAGGGTCCGGATTAACGTCAAGATTTTCCTCTGATTATTGACTGCTGATGGCTTACTGCAGAGGAACACTGAACCCTGACCTTTGACCTGCAGGACTCATGAGAACACTAAAGCCTGACCTTTGACCTGCAGCAGGGCCAGGCTGCTGGTGATGAACTGAGGACCAAACAAAGACTAAAAACTGAATTTCCCTCTGATGCAGGTGTTTTGTGTTTTTTAAAATAAATGTGATTTAAGTTTGACACAGAGATTAAAAACAACCTGAACATCTGTCTGGCTTCATATGTTTTATTTTCTAAACATGTGGCACATTGTAGTCTGACCACATCAGGGGGTGAAGATGATGATGTTGTGACGTGAGCCACCTGTAGATTCAGCAGAGGTCTTTGAACGCATCATCACAGGAAGTTCCTGTGTGAGGGGTCAGAGGTCACGGCCTGATAGCCACAGTGTTCAGTTGGAGGGCAATGTAAATTTCAGCAGCACATTATGAAACTAATGATGAAACTGACATCATCACAGAGAAAACAAAGGAGGCGACTGAACGCAGCGAGGCTTTGGTTAATGAACCTGAAGGGAAAAAACTTCAGCTGTGTTAAAGTGAGGCGGCCAGTCTCTTTAGTACGTTTAAACTAAACCACAGCAGGTTCCACTGAATTTTAAGGAGATTAAACTCTGACGAGCTTAGTCTGAGATCTGCAAACTGTTTAATGATCAGTGCTGTTTGACGTAGAGCTCTGATTATCACCACACTGCTCCTGGAGGAAGTCGTCCGAGGAGGTTTTTTTACACTCACTAAGAGGTTCTACACCGACTCGCCGAAACCGAAGAGTCCACGTGAAACCAGGATGAGGACAGACTTTAAGGTCCATTTGTGTCTCCAGGAATGTGACGGCCCTCAGGTGAGGCTCTGCGTCCACCTGTACGTCCTTCAGGTGAAGACTGCAGTCAGCTGCACATGAGCTTCTCTGAAGGTCAGGTGACGCTCCCGGGGTACAAACTTTATTCAGTAATTACACAGACAGCGAGGTTACATATCAAACAGGAAATGAAACGTTCAGCTATGATTAATGATGAGCCAGATTCAGCCCTGAACGCAGGGAAGGACCTGACGTCCTGTAACAGGTGCTTACCTGTACGAGATCAGCGATGAACCACCTGACACAAGCATGGCCGCACCGCGCTATCAAAACCACCCCAACAAAATCCTTTTAAATAAAGTTTCACAGCTGGTTTCTAATGTTCAGGGGAAGCCTCAGAGATTCTTAGAGTTCTGAGCACTGAGCTGGAGCACCACAGGAAAAACTTTATTCAAACACAACAAAACAGACAAATGCCCCCCCCGTGCACAGGTGGAGTCGCTGTGACGAGTTTGAAGTGTGAATCTTTATTGTCCACCTCAGTGAAAACACAAACATAGAAATCTGTTACAAAAGGACAAACGCTGCAGACGAGGTGAATAAAAGACGCCGGTACAGTCTCTGCAGCACCAATCACGAGCCAGAACAGGCTTCAGCCTGTCACATGACCACTAGTCCAGCAGGAAGCCCTGCCCTCAGTCTGTGCAGGGACCAGCAGGGGGATGACCAGAGGAGAGGAGGATCATGGGACTTTTGTTCTTCTTCTTTCTCTAAGACTACCGGCTCCGGCCCCCCCTTGGTGCTCCTCTGGGTGGCGGTCCTCCTCTCCTGGGGCCTCCTACGGGACCCCAACCGCCCCGCCCACCTCGACCAGACGGGCCATAACCGCCATCCTCCCTCTGCGGGCGACCTGCTCGACAACACAGAGCGGGATGAGGATTCATTTTTAAAACATTAAAAAAAAAGCTCAAAAGTTGTTTTTTAAAAAGGTGAGTGTTACAGCAGAGCAAAACTGAGAACACGTCGCTCACCTCCGTCGGGTCGCTCTGACTCGTGATCTCGCGGGTCGCCGGTTCCTGGGCCATCCTGCCACGGACGCTTGCGGGGGGGAAGTGACGCCATGTCCATCCCCTGCATGGAGGAGGGGCGCTCTCGACCGGTCGGAGTCGACCCATCGTGCATCTGCTGCCCGTCCCGATAACCATCGTGACCTACAGACAGGAAGAGGCACCGCCACAATAAGAGTTCAGCCTCAGCTGCAGGTTTTCTGGACTGTGTGGACTCGGACCTGATTCTGGCGTTCCTGAGCCTGCAGTAAGAGGGACTCAGCAGCAGGGGGCACGCCAGAACCAGACTCACCTCCTCCTCTGGGCGGAACACCTCCTCGAGGCGGCCTCCCGTGGCCTCCGGAGTCCCAGCTTCGACCCATCTCCTCAGGGCCATCGAAACCTTCCTCCTGGCTGCCGTAGTCATCGGGGTAACCTCGACCGCCAGGCCGGCCTGGGCCGCCTCCTCTGTACCTGAAACAGTCCACGGCCACACTCTGAGGTTCTGGAACAAACTCATCAGGAAACTATTCTCAGAGATCAGGTGAGCACGAGACGCCCCCTGCTGGACTTCAGGCACAGTGCATGACCCTACAACCATCGTTGATTACAGTCTGTGATCAGGGACTCACCTGTCATCTCTCCGTCCTCTAAAGCCTTCCCCACCGAACCGCTCATCGGGTCCCCAGTTCCCTGCACTCCCTCCTCCTCGGTGTCCTGCCCCCCTGTGGCCGCCGCCTCCTCCTCCTCCTCCCCCCTGGTATCCTGGTCCTGGCCTCCAGCCTTCCTCTCTGCTGTGGAAATCCTGGCCTCCGTCAAAGTCCTGCGACCCATGTCGGCCCTGCTGGTTGTCTCCCCAGTATGACCCTGAGCCCTGGTCTGGTGCCCCTGGGCCCTGCCGGTCCGGAGGGCCCATGTGGTGGCTTGGAGGTGGCCCTCGAGGGTCTGATGAATAAAAGGAGTCAACAATGACTGTTAGGACTCAAGAAGGCAAAATACACCAGAGCCCCGAACAGGAGCCCTGAGAATAGCCACATCTGACTCAGGACAGTTTTACCTTTGTTGTTTGGCCCCTGCTGCCCCATCCCATGCATCATGGGCCCCGAGTTCTGACCCTGCAGAGACCACATAAAGTCAGCGTCAGTCTGTCACACACAGGGCTGATTGTGGACCAGCCAAACATCTACAGGAGCTCACCTGGTGCTGCATGTACGGGGGTCCCTGCATGTTTCCTGGCGGCCCCTGCATGTTTCCGTGGGGGCCCTGCATGTTAACAGGGGGCCCCTGCATGTTTCCATGGGGTCCTTGCATGTTACCAGGGGGCCCCTGCATGTTTCCTGGAGGTCCGTGCATCCCTCCTGGGGGCCCCTGCATGTTGCCCATGCCATAGTTGTTGGGCATGTTCCCATGTGTCCTTGGTGGGGGCCCCATCATCCCCCCCTGCATAGAACTCTGGGGGCCCATCAGGTTCCCTTGAGGTGGCATCATGGCCCCCTGAGGTGGGGGTCCTTGAGGATCTCTTGGACCCATTCCTCGAGGGGGTGGGCCCATCATGCCACCAGGGGGCCCCTGCATCCCTCTGGGTCCCATACCATGGGACCCCTGGGGGCCCATGTTTCTTGGGGGGCCGGGATGTCTCTGGATACCTTGGGGCCCCTGCATGTCCGGTGGCCCCATCATGCTCTGAGGGGGCCCCTGGTGAGACTGGGGTCCAGAGGGTGGGCCCATCTGTCCAGGGCCCATAAATGTAGGCTGCATGCCTCCAGGGCCCATTGGGGGGCCCATGGTGTTGGACATCTGTTGAGGAGGCATGTTTGGAGGACAGCCCTGCTGACCAGGAGGCATGGAGCCCCCGGGGCCGCCGGGGCCCGGGAAGGGGGGCATCGATCCCTGTCCCTGTGGGGGGCCCATGTTCCCATCCGTGTTCATCTGGTTCATTCTGTCCATCTTCATTTGCTGCAGAGAGAAAAAACAATGAGGGTGAGGAAGCAGACGTGAGGTTTCATTAAGGCTTCAGTGTTCCTACGAAGGTCTCATAGCCGCTCTGATCGTCTATCGATGCGCTTGCATGGCAACAAAAGGAATTCTCACACTTTCCTAAAACAAGCTGAGACACGTTAGTGATCGAGGACGCGTAAAGGAGGCTTCGGGTCACCGTGGAAACGGGACCACAGTGGCAGGAACAGACGCCGTTCAGCTTCTGGAGTAAAACCAAATGTTGAAGGTGACG